AAGCTCCTCAGCTAGGCCAGGCCACCGCGGCCCGAGATTTGGGCCACGACACGACCATGGGCGCCTCCAGGTCGGTCAAGGTTAGGAAAGCCCGATTTTTGAAGGGCAGGCGTGCGGCTCTCAAGATTGCTGGTCTAGTTAGGACCCCCCCTAAGTCCTCGAAGCTGTACCTTTCCAACGCTTTTCCGAAAGCTGTCTGGGCCCCTGAAGTCCATGGGCTGGCCCCCAGCATGGTCAAGCAGCTCCGTGGACAGGCGCGGCTGAGCAGTAAGTGCCCGCAGAGAGGCTCTTGCGCCACCACGGCTATTCGAATCAGTCTGGGCTCTAGCCGTGACCCTGCTATAATGTACATCAGGCGTCTCGTCGGAGCTTGGTTCGCTAGAGTTTTTCGGTCCCCTGAGCTAGTTGCACGTATCGATGCGGTGTGGTCGGAATCTCTCGAGCGTGTGAAAAAAGGCTGGAATTTAGTTCGGGGGCCCCCAGGTGCTTTTCAAGCCTCAATTTTGGACCTCGGCTGGAGCTGCCCGTCGATCACTAGCTTGGTGGAGCCCAACGGTGACGAATGGGCCCTTCAAGATGCCGGCCTTGCTCCCCCCTACTGCCTTCTTGATGATTTCGAGGCCTCTGTGAAAGCTTCGATTTGGGAGCGAGCGGCGAAGCACCTTGATGGAGCTGGCTCTGAAGCTGGGGTCTGGTGGCAGCATGTAGTCTCCCTTGCCTCCAGGCTGGAAACCGATGATAACCGCGCGATGGCGAGTATGGTCCGTCTCATTGCCTGTGGAGGCTATTGGACTGAGCAGCGTAGGTTCGAGGCAGGCTACCGCTCGGATCCGGACTGCCAGAGGTGCAAGGCGGCTCCGGAGACCAGCTCCCATAGATTTTGGAGCTGCCAGTGCAACACGTATGATGAGGCTTGGGCTCTCCAAGTAGGCAGTCAGCCCCCCCCGCCCGAAGTCGTGGCCACCAACCAGCTGATCCCCGAAGCCCTCCAGGAGGTTGGTAGCTGCCCAGTGTTCTGGTGCCGTGGACTGGTCCCCCTTGCTTGGTTGGAGCTCCCTCCTCCTCCCTCGTCCAAGGACCATGTCTGGATTCGACGGCCTGAGGGCACGCACCTCCCTGGGGGCATTTATGGGGTCGATGGCTCAGGGGGCATTTGGTCAAAGAGCTCACTTCTTCGGCGGGTGTCTTGGGCCTTTGCACGCCTGATCCTGAAGGTCTTGATGGCCTAGGTTGGGACTCGGGGTGCACCGGTGTGGTCGACAGCCCTAAGCAGTCTGTGCCGAGGGCCGAGTTGTGTGCTATTGTCGAGTGCGTTAGGGCTGTCGACCATTCAGCGGATCTTTTTATCTGGTGTGATCACATCAATCATGTTCGATCCCTCAGCAAAGGGAGACACCACTGTTTTAAATCGAGAGCCCAATTCTGTGCCGAGGGCCGAGTTGTGTGCTATTGTCGAGTGCGTTAGGGCTGTCGACCATTCAGCGGATCTTTTTATCTGGTGTGATCACATCAATCATGTTCGATCCCTCAGCAAAGGGAGACACCACTGTTTTAAATTAGAGCACGCGGATTTGTGGCATGAGCTGTATGCTCTCCTGCACGTGCGTTCAGGCAGTTTTGAGCTGCAGCATGTACCGTCCCACTTGGCCGAAGATGAGACTAAGTTTCAGAGGCTGGCTGCAGGTGCCCCCCCTGGGGCTATCTTCATCAACTCAGTAGCGGACGGCCTTGCGGACTCTAGGTGCGAGCTTTGCCAGATCGCCCCTGATGTTTGCAAGAGAGCTCTCGACCTCGTCGCCAAGGCTGAGTCGGTTCTTCTCCGCAATGCGAGTTTGTCAACTGCTGCTGCCTCATGTCCTCGTGTGCCGCTCCGAGAGGTCAAGCCCGTGCCAGTCCCTCCCGATGAGAGGCGGACTAAGAGGCGCGAGGCGGCAGCGGCAGCCTCCTCCCACCGTTTTCAGGCCATAGGTGCGGGCTGGCGTTGTCTCAGGTGTGGCAAGCTGGTCCTCTCCAGCAGCTCATCCGTCATGGCCTACCTGAGGACTGCCTGCCCCGCCCGCCCCCCCGGTCCCGCCCAAGAGCCTCCTGCTGCAGAAGCTGGGGTTGAAGGACCCGCGGGGGAGTTGGAGGCCTTGACTGGTGGAGGTGGAGGAAGGAGGCCAGGAGCTGTTGTGCTCTCGGATAAGTGTTTAAGGCTTCCGCCCATAGATGAGGCTCTTTTCAGGACGGTCTGTGGATCGCACCCGCCGAGGCGTCTTGAAGGCAGGGGATTTCTTGGCAAGATGCTTCACACCTCCCACGACTTGTGGGAGAAAGGCTCGTATTGCTTTTGTAGTAAATGCGGACGGTACACGTCCTCTGCGAATCCTGGTTTTCTAGTAGGTTTGTGTGAAGTCGACCAATATGGTCGACATGATCTTGTCAAGGCGCAGTACACTTCGCTGCAGCGCCTCAGGAAGGGATTGCCTCCCAGGTGCGGAATCAGCTCCTGGGGTGAAGGGTACAGTGGGCACAGTGCCCCTACACCCTCAACCTCCTCTTGCAGTGGGGGTGGTCGGATCTCCTCGTGATCCGTGTCTGTTTCACCAGGCGTTCAATCTCAGGTTCCCTGATGCTTGTGCTGCCTGCAGCTCCTAGCAAAACATCCTCCTCCTCCTCCTCCTCCTCCTCCTCGTTCTCGTCCTCGTCCTCCTTCTCCTCCTCCTCCTCCTCCTCCTCCTCCTCCTCCTACGTCTCCTCCTCCTCCTCCTCCTCGTCCTCCTCCTCCTCCTCCTCCTCCTCCTACTCCTCCTCCTGCTTCCCCTCGTCCTCGTCCTCGTCCTCCTCTTCCTTCTCCTCCTCTTCCCCCGTCTGCCCCCCCCTGGCCACAAATGCCCTCGACGTCCTTGAAGCGCCTGCACGTCCGCGTCGACCTGGCGGCCCGCGGCGGACGCGCACGCACTGCGGAGGGCGCGCGCCGCTCCGGCGGGGGACGCCGGGCGGCCCTGGTGCGCAACGCCCACCCCGAGGGCCGTGGGGCAGGCGATGCTTCGCCAGGGGAGCCCATAATCGAATCGACAAGTCGAATCGGCGATCGAAATCAATCGGGTCGGCGGACATCGGCAGCCAAGTCGGGGGGAGTCGAATCGGCGGAAATCGGCATAGTTAGTAGTAATGCCTCATTGAGACATCGGGATCCAAATCGGGATCCCAAGTCGGATCGAATTGGGATCGGAATCCATCCAAATCGAATCGAATCGACGGAATCGAAAGGACTCCTGCTCAGCAGGCGAAGAGCCGCGCAAACCAGCGTGTTCCGCCATCGGGGGGCCCTGTCACACACGGGCTTGGAAATCTATCCCATACCCACACTTGCCGTCGCTCGGACGTCCGTTTCCCATGCATGTTTTGGTTTCGTGCGTGTGTGTGTGTGTGTGTGTGGGTGTGTGTTTTTCTGGATGGTCCAGGATGGTCCTCGATGGCTCTCGCCGAGAAAAAATGCACACGTCCGAGCGATGCCAAGACACTTGCCGCCGTGGGGGTGTCAAAACCTTCCAGCCGCCGTGGGGCAGGCGTCCTAGACGGCGGGGCGCATGACTCTGCGCGCGGCCCTGCGCCCGCGAAGATGGCGGATGCGTGAAACCCAGCGACGCAGCATGTGAACACGATCCCTGCGCCACCTCTGCCTCGCACCCCTCCACCCGGTCGGCGCGGATCACGGGGCCAGGCCGAGAAGGGGCACCGTCTGCGCAGGCAAGCCTGCCCTGTCAAACACCTCCCCACGAGGGCAGGCCGGGCTCGAGCTATGCTTCAGAGGAGACGGGGGGGAGACTGCACACGCATAAACACGCGCAGGTTCGCGCGGCTTTCCTGGACCGCCTGTGCCTGGGCGGAACCGACTGACTCGCGGACACGCGTCGGCCTGGCCACCCATCGTGACCATGGCAGCCAGAAGGAAAAGGAGGATGAGGAGGAGGAGGAGGAGGAAGAGGAGGAGGAGCAGGACGAGGAGCAGGAGGGGCAGGAGGAGGAAGATGGCGGAGGAGGAGGAGGAGGAGTAGGGAATGGAGGAGTAGGAGGAGTAGGAGGAAGAGGAGGAGGAGGAGGAGGAGGAGGAGGAGGAGGAGGAGGATCAGGGGGAGGGGGAGGAGTAGGGGGAGGATGAGGCGGCTGGCGGAGGAGGAAGAGGGAGATGGCGCAGGAGGAGGACGAGGAGGAGGAGGAGGAAGAGGAAGAGGGTGTGCCAATTTGCACCAAACAAGCCTGGCTAGGCCCACCCGATAGGCCCAAACCCGGTGCACACGCCCCCCTCCTGGCTTGGCCAAGAGGGCATGTTCACCGCGTCCTCGGCCCGAGCTCGGCCTGGGCAAGAGTGAGCTACTTACAGCCATCGTGCTACCATAAGGCACGCGAAACTGAGGAACGAAGGGTTTCTTCTGGCCGCGGCGAGCCTCAGCCACGAGGAGCTTCGCCGACCTGGCTCCGAGGTAACGGCCCGACAGAAAAACCAGGGCCCCTCCCGAGCCCAGAAAGGGCCCCGAGCCTCAGCATCGCGGCTGCAGGTGCGCGCCCAGACCCCCGAGGGGTCCGGATCTTTTCTCATGGCGCGACCCCCAGAAGTCCGGACCCACTTCTCGGCACGGGCTTCTCCTCCTGAGTCGTTTTTTGACAACACCGAGGCCCTGAAGGGCCCCCAGAGGCCCTGAGGACCCCCGAGGTCCGGATTTTGTCATGACGCGACCCCCAGAAGTCCGGACCCACTTCTCGGCACGGGCTCTTCGTCCTGAGCCGTTTCTTGGCACCACCGAGGCCCTGGACAGGGCCCCCAGGGAGGCCGAAAAGAGCGAGAAGCCTCCCGTCGCGATTCTGCTCGCGACTCGAGGGGGGTCTGGGCACGCGGCGCCCTCCGGCCTCGCGCGCCGCGCAGGGGGGCGAGGCGGGCGGGCGGCGCGCCTGAGGAAGCGGCCCACGCCCGGGAGGCACCTCCCGGGCCGGACGGGCCCCACCAGCAGCAGCACCGC